CTCTCCAGGATCTGGCAGCCCATGGCGTTCTTCGCTGTCTGGGAGCAGCACAGGTACTGGCCGTCGATCCAGAAGCAGGGATGATACTTCTGTACCAGGTCGCTGTTGTACCGTATCACTGTGGCAGAGGAGGGAAGATGTGTGTGACCTGGGGCTGCAGAGAGCTCTCTGCTCCCTGCAGTCAGGGATATCTCATGATAGTGAGCTCCACATTAAATAATTTCACACTGTGCTGTGCTAGATACACAGTCACATGTGGCCCTGCTGCTCGGGTTTCCCTCAGCTCTTTGCTCATGTTTCGCCCCTGCAGCTATGCAAACCCTATGCCATGAAACCTCGAGTTCAGGGCGGGCCAGGCCTTTCCTCTCAGATTTGATCAGCAGCTCTGCAAAGAGACATGAGCGTGCTCGGAGGGCCAGGTCCTGCTGTCAGTGGCCCTCCTGCCAGACGAAATGTCCCCGGCTGCTGAGGCCTGTGGGTCAGAGCTCTTGTGAATCCTTTTTTTCACACGTGGGGTGGGAGGCCAGTGCTGTGCCTGGCTTGCCCATGGGGTGAGCAGGGCACTGCCACCATCCCCTGCCTGCTCAGAGACTTCCCTTGCTGGGTAACCGCTCCCCTGTACTTCTCCCCAAGCCAGAGGGACAACTGGATGTGCCTAACATGGTGCTGTCCCACAGCCACTCCATGGGCTGCAGACATCCCCTTCTCTGGCGGAGCAGGATGAGGGCATTCTGGCAGTAAAAGCCCAGCATTTTATCTCCTTCCCCTGTGGATTTTACACTGGCTTCAGCCGCCACAGCAACCCCGCTCCCGTAGCAGGGAAACAGGGAGAGGGCTGCCTGCCAGAGCAGAGCAGCGGGGCTCTCATGAAATAACCGACTTCCCCGTTATCAGCCCGCTCTGCTTCCGCCCTGCACGGACAAACTTCCCTGTGTCAACTTGAGCAGCTAATCTCACCCCGCCAGCACGAAGCCACAACAGATACACATGCCTCAAGAGACACACGCGGGCAGCTCCAGCAGATTTCGGCCAACTGCGAGCACGCAGCCCCTCTGTGCAGTGCTGCAGCAACACGCTCGCAGCTCAAGGAGGTGGCACCCACGTAGCTCAGCAGCACCAAGCGAGGTTTGGGGTGGGTTGGGGGAGACGCTCCTGGCTTCCAGCACTTTTTGTCTGCATTTCCTAAAGCACCAGGGCCGCTACCCTCCCCCTGCATGCCAGTACAGCTGCCTGGCTGCACCTGCTATTTCCTCTTGCCCTTCTGAGCCTGCTAGAGCTAATGTGGAGCAGGCTTGTGAGAGGGCAGGAGGCGGCTGCGGTGCTGGAGGAATCGGAGGGTAACGGGCGAGGGTCCACCTCCCCCAGGCAGAAGCGGCTGGCGTCAGCTCAGGGGTGGTAGGGAGCGTGCACGTGGCGGCACAGCC